CCTCCCCCCCCCCCCCCCCCTCAGCCAGCTCCTGAGGGCAGTGAGTGGTACCTGGTCGGTGAGGAAGTCCCTCAGCATCAGCAGCCGGTTGCCACTCCGGGTGGCGACGGGCACGGTGATCTTCAGCATCACCCCGTGGATGGGGAACAAGCCCAAGTTTTGGATCTGTGGCCCGAGAGGGAGAGGTGTCGGTGCTCCAGCAGCAGCTGGGGGAGGGGAGGTGGAGAACAAGGTCCCCAGCCGGGCCTGGGAAACAGGCCCCTTCAAGTCCCCTGACATTTTCACTGTGGAAGCTTTGAGGCTCTGCCAAGTCACCCCGGGGCTGCAGGGACCTGAAAGGGGTGGGCGCCTGCAGTGGGGGCAGCAATGAGACTGGAGAGCAAGGGTCACGTCTATTTTCAACTCCTCTTGGCTCTGGGGGATTTTGTTGCCTGGCACTGGTGGCCCCCGGGGGTGGAGATGGTGACAGCAATTAATTTTTTATGAGAGATATCATTAATTAGTGAAGAACATAAATAGTGAGTGTGTGATAGTTCACATTGTAGTTGACACATTTGGTGTTAGAGCTGCAATGGTAACAGGAAGGCTTTGGAATCAGAAAGGCTGGGAATAGAACCCAGGGCTGCTGTCATGTATGAGCTGTGGGTCTTGGGCAGGTTACTAACCCTCTCTTGGGTGAGCCATCCAGGTCTCAGTGAGCCTGATGAGCAGTGTTCAGCTGTCAGGCTGCCTCTGACTCACAGCATTCAGAGGTGGGGGAGAGTGCCGGCCCACTGTGGCAGACACTGCTAAGCTGCCTCCTAATTCTCCTCTCACCGTCCTTCGTGACAGAAACCACGACAAAAAGCTTCTGAGAGCTAAATCACAACGTGCTGGACAATGAGAGGTGACTGGAAGTGTGAGGAACTGCCAAGGAGCTCTTTGTCCCTTTCCTGTTTCCTGGAATGAGGACGTGATGGCTGGAGCTGCAGCCTTCTTGGACTGTGAGGTGAACTTGAGGCTGGTAATTGCATGTTGAGGATGATGGAACATGAAGAGAGAAGATGCAACCCTGGATGACTCTGTGAAGCTGCCAACTTTGGACTCTTTTACAGGAGAGAATAAACCCTGGTGCATTTAGACCACTTAAAAATTTTTTTTTTTAAATAATGTGCAGCCACGCCTAATTTTCACTGATACTGATACGTTCTCTCAGACCAGCCCTGTTATTTTCCAGATGAGGACAGAGGCCCAGAGAGAGAAAGTGACTTGCCTACAATCATTGAGTGAGTGGGTAGCAGGGTTAAGGTGACCCTGAGCTCTAGCAATGATTTCTTTCTTTTTCAAAAAATTAAAAAAAATTGATTTCAGAGAGGAAGGGAGAGGGAGAGAGAGATAGAAACATCAATGAAGCCGAAGCCGGTTTGGCTCAGTGGATAGAGCGTCGGCCTGCAGACTGAAAGGGCCCAGGTTCGATTCCGGTCAAGGGCATGTACTTGGGTTGCAGGCACATCCCCAGTAGGGAGTGTGCAGGAGGCAGCTGATCGATGTTTCTCTCTCCTCAATGTTTCTGCCTCTCTGTCTCTCTCCCTTCCTCTCTGTAAAAAATCAATAAAATATATTAAAAAAAAAAAGAAACATCAATGAAGAGAGAGAATCATTGATCAGCTGCCCCCTGCCCACTGGGGCTCAAGCCCACAACCTGAGTATATGCCCTTGACAGAAATTGAACCCTGATCTGGTTCATAGGTTGACACTCAACCACTGAGCCACCCGGGCCGGGCATTAGCAGTGATTTCTGATTCCTCCCCTCCCAAGAGGGGGACCCTCAGCTCCTGCCCTTCACTCTCTTCCTGGCTCCCCTTGAGCCTTACCTTGAAAATGCAGTGGAAGGGAGGCCCAATGCCGTTATAACTCTCCAGGGAGCTGTTGGGCTTGACTTCATAGTGGCTCAGCCTGCTGCTCCTGCAGGGACAGAGGACAGCACTGCCGTGACTCAGTCAGTATTGGCTAGGTGGGTAACTGAACGGAAAAGGCTGTGGGCATGAGCCTGTCCCCCTAGGCCACAAAAAATAGGTTTCCCTTTGCCCATTGGGAACACTGGGCTGGGAAGGTTTCTGAGGCTCCGCAGGAATAGAAGCTGACCTTCATCAGCAACGTCTGCCTGGTGTATGGGATGGGCACGAGCCAGAAGTGCCAGTTACTTGCCATCCCTACCCTAGACTCTCAACCTAGGCCCTAGGGCAGGGATGGCGAACCTATGACACGCATGTCAGAGGTGACACGTGAACTCATTTTTTGGGTTGATTTTTCTTTGTTAAATGGCATTTAAATATATAAAATAAATATCAAAAATATAAGTCTTTGTTTTACTATGGTTGCAAATATCAAAAAATTTCTATATGTGACACGGCACCAGAGTTAAGTTAAGGTTTTTCAAAATGCTGACACACCGAGCTCAAAAGGTTCACCATCACAAGATTAGAGGATCCCAGGAGTCAAGTCAAAGATTTGAAATACGAAGAAGCAAAAAAACACCCCACCGGAAAAACAAAAAGAAAAAAGAATCCAAAAATATGAAGGTAGTTTAAGGAGCCTCTGGGACAACTTCAAGTGTACCAACATCCGAATTATGGGGGTGCCAGAAGAAC